GGGCAATCACACTCCAGTTCACTTGTACGTCGTATAAGCTGCATGTCAGTCTTTCTGCCCCCATCTGTGGCAAAGCACAGCCGGTCTGTCCTGAGGTTTCACCTCATTCATTCATTCATTGATGATGTATTGATCACCTATTAGGTGCCTGCCCTAGGGGTGGAGGGTGATTAGAATCCAGCAGTGAGCAAGAATTGATCCCCTCCCTTCTCAGCTTCAGCAGGGTGTACTCGCCCTCTGCGCTGGGCTTCCCCACAGGTCAGGGAGAGAGCAGTTGAGCCCCGAAATATGCCGACCTGGGGCTCTTCTCTGCCCTCTCTGGACTCTAACTTCTCCATCTGACCCGGACGTAACACGCCCCCAGTGGCTTCAGACGATCACGCAGCCTCTAGATTGTGGAGAAATGGTGCCTCCTACCGGCTAATGCCAGTCCTGAGCCAGCTCGCTGTTCACACAGAATCTTCTCTTTCTCTCATGCTTTCCTTCCTTTAGTTAGCAAATACTAAGTGAACATCACCACACCCAGGGGATATAGTGGGGAATAAGGTAGACAAGCTCGTGCTCTCATGGAACTGACATGCACTGGGGCTGGGGACAGAGACGGGAAGCAGATAATTGAAAGAGTGCGACGTCATAGAGAGTGACAGAGGACAAGGAAGACTCCTTGTCAGAGCGGTGGCCAGAGAAAGCCTGTCTGAGGAGGGGGCATTTGATGGAGACCTCAGTGATGGGGAGGGGCCAGCTATGTGCAGATCTAGAAGCGGGACTAGCAAAGGCCCTGAGGTGGGGACCTCTTTTGGGTTCAGTAACAGGAAGGAGGGCCTTGGGGCTGGATCGGAGTTAGGGAGAGAGAGAGTTGAGTCGTGTGAGGTGGGGAAGGAGAGGTGAGTGGGGGCTGGGTCATGCAGGGCCATGGTGAGAATTTACATTTTAGAGCAGGGATCTGGAGTCCACAGACCACCCCTGGAAGGTTCTGTGGATAGAATTCAGAGGTTCCATGAACTTGGATAGGAAAAAAAATTACATCTCAATTTTTACTATCTTCCAACTGGAATATAGTATTTCCTTCTATTATGAATGTCAACAGACTCTAAACAGTAGTATTAGCAGTACTTGGACTTTGTCACCAACAGAATGTACAGACATTTTCATATTTTCTTACAGTTGTTGCAGATCTCTCAAAATATTGTTTTCACTCATCGTTGTTTTGAAATTAGTCATCAGACCTATGTCTGGATCTTGTTAATGTGCTAATAAAGAAGCCCATAGATTACTATGTCACAATTTGAAATATGTTTGATGACGGTATTTCAATATAATTGATTTCATTTGAAATCCTATATATTTTTGTGGGGGTGTGTGTGTTTAGAGACAGGGTCTTGCTCTATCACCCAGGCTGGAGTGCAGAGGCTTGATCGTAGCTCACTGCAACCTGGAACTCCTGGGCTCAAGTCATTCTCCCACCAGGGCCTCCCAAAGTGCTGGGATTACAGGCATGAACCACGCCCCTCCCTTTTTTTTTTGCACAAACAGTAGCATATCATACCCAGTGTTCTGCCTCCTGAGTTTTGCACCCAACAGGGCATTCTGGAGATTGTTCCATATCAGGACACAAAGATGTCCTCATTCTTTTTGATGACTGCATGGTGTTCCACTGTAAAGCTCCAACCTAACTCATCCAACTCAACCGCTGTTGCTGTGTGCTCAGCTTGTGTCTACTCTTGCTAGAACACCACTAGCTGCTGGGTAGAGCCGTCTATGGAAATCATTTTGCACAAATGTGAGTATATCCCTAAGATAAATTCCTAGTCGTGGAATGGCTGAATCAAAGGGCATATGCATTTGTAATTTTGATAGGCATTGCCAAATTACCCTCTCGCCAGCAATGTACAAGAGTGTTTGTTTCCCCACACTCCCCAACTGTGTTTATCTTTTCTGATATGACAGGTAAAAATGGTATCTTGGTGCAGTTGTAGTTGTGTTTATCTTCTTGTGAGTGAACCTGAATGTATTTTCATTCAGAGCTGTTTGTATGTCCTTTGCTGGGCACTCTCCAGACCCACCTGTCAGCCATATTACTACGGGGTTGTTGGTTTTTTTTTCTTATGGATTTGTAATTGTTCTTTATATATTAGAAAAATCAGCTCTTTTTGTCCGATTGCTTATATTTTTTCCCAGTTTGTTCACTTTCTGGGACATTAAATTGGTCCTTGGAATAATAATGGCACCAGGAGCAATTGAGGCACATGTTCCGTGCCCCCAAACTTTGCAGAAGGAAAAAATTGTAAGTAACATGTTACAGCTTTCACCTGTACATAAAATTTGCTAAGTAAATGAAGAAGCATCAGTCTTTGTACATTAAGATGTATACGTGGCTGGACGAGGTGGCTCGCACCTGTAATCGCAGCACTTTGGGAGGCTGAGGCAGGAGGATCTCTTGAGGCCTGGAGCTTGAGGTTTCAGTGAGCTATGATTATGCCACTGTACTCCACCCTGGGCGACAGAGTGAGACCCTGACTCTCAAAAAAAAAAAAAAAGAAAGAAAAAATATATATACGTGGAACACCTACTGAGTGCTAGATGGTTTTCTAGGTGCTGAGGATACAGCAGTGACCGAAACAGTCAAGATCAGGCTCCTGTGGAGCTGACGTTCCAATCGGGGACATCCCACGATTGAGCAAGCAGGAAGAGCGGTACCTGGAGCTTGTGCTAAGTCTTACGAAGCAGATGAAATGGGAGTGATAAAAGGAGGCGTTGCAACGGGCTGGTTTAGATCAGGTGGTCCAAGAGGGCACCTCTGAGGAGGTGACTTTATGTTAGGACCAAGACATGAATGTAAGAACTAGAACTGCCCAGTAGAGGGAACAGCATGTGTAAAGCCCCTGAGGCAGGAACAAACTTGGCACATCTGAAAAACAGAAAAGGGCTGGATGGCTGGAGCACAGCCAGGCAGGGAGAGGGCGGTGGGAGTTGAACTCAGGGAGACTAGTGCAGGCCTCAGAGGCCAGATGAAAATTTTTGCTTGTATTGAGGGCTGCAAGAAGCCATTGGAGGGTGTGCGGAAGGGGGTTTTGCTTTTTATTTTGGAAATGTTTACATATAAAAGTAGAGAGAGTGATATTAATATAATGAACCCCACATACTCATCACCCAGCTCAACAGTTATCAACATTTTGCCAGTCCTACTGGCAAACAGAATTTCATCTATACTCCTCACTTTTTTGGGTGGGGAGGGGTTGGATTTTTTTTCCTCTCCCTCTTTTCCTTCCTTATTCTCCTTTAAAAAAAAAAACCTTGTTGAAGTATAACAAATACAGAAAGGTACACAAATCCTAAGTACATAGCTCAGTGAATACTCACAAATGCAGCACACCCATGTAACTGGCACTTGGCCCAAGAAACTGAGCCTGACCATCCCCTCGCAGCCCCCCAGTGCCTCCTCTGGTCTCTGCCTCCCGAACTTCTCACCTGTGAAGAGAACACAAATGGAGGCATACAGGATGTCCTCTAGTGTGACTAGCTTCTTTCACTTAATTTCATTTGGGAAGTTTATATTGTTGTGTGTGATTGTGGAGTACAGGCCACTCACTGCTCATTGCTGTAGCATTCCACTAAATCACAGTTTATTTACTCATTCCGCTATTGGTGGGTACCTGGGCTATCTTCGGGTCATGGCTGTTTCATTTTTATTTTTATGTTATTTATTTGTTTATTTGTTTTGGAGATGAGGTCTTGCCATGTTGCCCAGGCTGGTCTCAAACTCTTGGGCTCAAGCAATCCTCCTGCCTCAGCCTCCTGAGTAGCTGGGACTATAGGTGCATGCCACCATGCCTGGCTAATTTTTGAGACTTTTTTAGAGATGAGGTCTCACTATGCTGCCCAGGCTGGTCTGGAACGGCTCAGCTCAAGGGATTCTTCCACCTCAGCCTCCCGAGGGGCTGCGATTACAGGCATGCGCCACTGTGCCCAGCTAGGTATTGGCTATTTCAAATGGTCCATGTCGACATTCTAATATATGACTTGTGGTAAACACATGTACACATTCATGGTGGGTTATGCCCAGAGTGGGAGTGGAATTGCTGGGTCAGAAGGCAGTTGCATGTTGAGCATTAGTAGACGGTGCCTGTATTAGTGTGCCAGAGCTGCCATAACACAGGACCCTGAGCTGGGTAACTCAAACAACAGAAACTGTTTGTCTCACAGTTCTGGAGGCTAGAGGTGTGAAATCAAGGTGTCCGCAGGGCTGGTCCCTTCTGAGGACTGTGAGGGAGAATCTGTTCCAGGCCTCTCTCCTTGGCTTATAGGGGGCCATCTTTTCCCTGCGTCTCTTCACAGTTTCTTCCCTCTAGCCCTGTCTGTCTCTGTCCAAATTTGCCCTTTTTATAAAGATACCAGTCTTATTGGATTAGAACCCACCCCGGTGACCTCATTTTAACTTGATCATCTGCAAAGATCCTATCTCCAAATAAGGTCACAGGGAGGTTCTAGGGGTTAGAATTCCAACGTAGCTTTTTTTTGGGTGGGGGCACAACTCAACCCATAACAGTGCCAAAGAGGTTCCCAAAGTAGTTGTACCAATTTATACACCCACTGTTTGCTGGAGTATTTTAAAGCTAATTCCAGGCACGCTATCGTTTGCCTTGGGAGTGTTTTAAAAGGAAGAAAGACTTGGTCTGGTTTACATTTTTAAACGAGGCTATTTGTTCTGCAGGAACGTGAGACAAGGCAAATATTTCAACAAGAAAGAAAAAGTAAATAAAGAGTGAGCCCTCCTGGGACAGCTCGTTTGGGACTCTCTGGTATCCCATGGTCCAGAGAAGCCTCTGGGTGCCCTTAGCTCAGGGATGCTGTTCAGAGACCAGTGGACCATTATTCACTGTCCAGGCCAGACTGCCCATGGGACAACTTCCTGATTTCAGCCCCGTGGGGTTCAGGTGACGCAGAGGGAGAAACCCGGCCAGGACTCAGGCTATCTTTCTGTCCATCACCTTCCCTATCAGGACATACAGCAGCTCCTCCAGCTCCAGCAGCTGGTGCTTGTGCCAGGCCACCACCTCCAGCCACCTGCTCAGTTCCTGCTGCCACAGGCCCAGCAGAGTCAGCCAGGTAAGGCCCCCACCCTGGACGGCCTCCAACGCCACCACTGAAGTCCCTCACTTTCCCCTCTCCTGTTCACCCCATGTGTTCCCCTTTGTCTCCCCAGGCCTGCTGCCAACGCCAAATCTATTCCAGCTACCTCAGCAAACCCAGGGAGCTCTTCTGACCTCCCAGCCCCGGGCCGGGCTTCCCACACAGGTGAGACTGTCCACTGAGTGTGCCAGGCTGGGCCAGCAGCGGGAGAGGTAGAGGGGGGAGAGTCACCTCTCCATGTGGCCCACCCCATAGCCATAGGAGCCAAGACAGGACTTGGGGGACCTGGGACCTAGCCCCACTCTGCCAGTGATTTGCTGTGGCACCTCAGGCAAGCCACTCTCCCTGTCTGGGTCAGCCCCTTCTTCTATAGAATGAGAGGAATCGACCCAGACTAGTGATTCTTTTTTTTTTTTTTCGAGACAGAGTCTCGCTCCTCTGCCCCAGGTAGAGTGCAGTGGCGTCATCATAGCTCACTGCAACCTCAAACTCCTGGGCTCAAGCGAGCCTCCTGTCTCAGCCTCCCCAGTAGCTGGGACTACAGGCGTGAGCCATGACACCCAGCTAATTTTTCTATTTTTAGTAGAGATAGGGTCTCGCTCTTGCTCAGCCTGGTCTCGAACTCCTAAGCTCAAGCAATCCTCCCACCTTAGCCTCCCAGAGTAGTAGGATTACAGGTGTGAGCCACTGCGCCCAGCCAGACTAGTGGTTCTTAACCCTTTCAGGGTTAAGGGTTAACCCTCTGAGAATCTGATGAAAGATTTAGATCCCCCTGAAATGCACATGCTCACAAACACATGAAATTTCAGGAGTTTGTAAACCTGTAGGTTATGAATGCCTCGAATCTCTTCCAGCACAGCAACTGGAGGGTTCTCAGAGCAAGGTGTCTGTTAGGTACTAATTCACATCTGCTTCTTAGACCAGAGACCGAAAACAGGGCCCACAAATGTGTTTTATTTGGCCAATGTCAACTAAATTCCCAGAAAGCACCAGATTTCAAGCTTCGCTTGACAAACCAGAAGATCTGGCAAGACTGGATCTGTGTCCACGTAGTGGCTTGGTGGCAGCGAGCAGCTGGCTTGGCCACTGGCAGGAGCAGGGTCCTCATAGGCAGGACCTATGCTTCAGATCTTCTATTTTTAGGGTAATGAAGCATTCCAAATGCCAGCTCTTCAGGCCACCTCAGCGCCTGGACCCCCAGGCCTTTTTTCAGTTTGATGCCTGGGTTCTAGACTTTAATAATAATCTTTCACTACCCTTTACAAATTTCAAGCCTTCTTCCCGCTCAGTTTTGTTTACAGCCCTTTCAAAAAATATATGAATTATTTCAGAAAGACCAAAAAGTTTAGAGACTAATAGAGGTTTTAGTTGCAGTTCTGAAATCCAAAATGCTCTGAAAGTCAATTTGTTCTTGTAACGTTGACATCAGAACTCATTTGGCTGCAAAAGCTGCCCTGCCCTGACATGAGGCAGTGTATGACTTTTCTTTATTCCTCTTGGTGTGGTATTCCTGCTGCTGCAGAGCTGTTAATGTGTCTGATTGCGGGGTAATGCTCTGACCCTGATGGAGGGCGCTGGGTCACATTATCTGTGATTTATGCCCTATGTAGGCTTTCTAAAAACTGAAAAACTTCTGAATTCCAAAACACATCTGGCCCCTGCGTTTTGGGTAACAAATCAAGGAACTGGGTGACGAACATCCCTGCACCCACCACCTGCTTCAGAGCTTTTATTTTTAGGGTAATGAAGCATTCCAAATGGAACTGGTGCTTTTTTTTTTTTTTTTACTTTTACTTTATTTGCAATCTACTCACTTTTTTAAGACTTAAATTTTTTTAGAGCAGTTTTAGATTCACGGCAAAATTGAGTGGAAGATACAGAGATATCTCCTACCTTCTGCCCCCACTCATGCACAGCCTCTGCCATTACCAACATTCCCAACCCAAGTGGAATCTATGTAACAATTAATGAACCTACAACGACACATCATCGTCACCCAAAGTTCACAGTTTACATTAGAGCTCACTCTTAGTGGTGTACATTCTATGGGTTTGGACAACATACTCATTTTTAACCGGATTCTCTCAACAGCCCCATTGGGTAGGCTGAGCAGCAGTGATTGTTCCCATCCTGTAGAGAGGGAAAGTGAGGCCCATGAAGTAAGAAGGTTATCTGAGGTACCCACCAATTCCGTGGCAAGAGCCAGTCCTTGATTCCCCAGCCTGAGAGGAGGATAAAACCACCACTCCCAGCTCCAGGAAGACAGCCCTGGCCAAATGAACCTAGTGGCTCCTTCTGGGAGTTCGCAGGCTTGAAGGGACAGTGCAGAGTTCCAGGCAACAAGAGGACCCATGTAGGGCGGCAGAGTCAAACCTTTAAAGGGACCCACAATGAGTGTGGAGGGGCCTCCTGGGGCAGGTGGAGGGGAGTCTGCAGGAAGAAGCTGGACCGCAGAGAGGGAGGGCGGGGGACTGTGCACTCATTGCTGAGCCCCCGTCCTGGTCCTCCGTCCTGCATCCCACCCACCTGCCCACCCCACCAGGCCGTGACCCGCTCCACGCTGCCCGACCCGCACCTCTCGCACCCGCAGCCCCCCAAATGCTTGGAGCCGCCATCCCACCCCGAGGAGCCCAGTGATCTGGAGGAACTGGAGCAGTTCGCCCGCACCTTCAAGCAGCGCCGCATCAAGCTGGGCTTCACGCAGGTGTGGGGCCATTTGGCAGGCTGGCGGTGGGCGTGGCCAGATGGCGGGCGGGGAGGGGCGTGGCCCGGGCGGGTGGGGTGAGCCCCGCGCCGGAAGGCCCCGCCCTGACCTCCGCCCCATGCCCGCCCTACCGGCCCAGGGTGATGTGGGCCTGGCGATGGGCAAGCTCTACGGAAACGACTTCAGCCAGACGACCATTTCACGCTTCGAGGCCCTCAACCTGAGCTTCAAGAACATGTGCAAACTCAAGCCCCTCCTGGAGAAGTGGCTCAACGACGCAGGTGGGACTAGGCTGGGGCTCCCGCGCGGGGGGCGGGCTGCGCCGGGGGAGGCGCCCTCTCACGCCCTCGTTTCCTCCCGGGCACAGAGACTATGTCTGTGGACTCAAGCCTGCCCAGCCCCAACCAGCTGAGCAGCCCCAGCCTGGGTTTCGACGGGCTGCCCGGCCGGAGACGCAAGAAGAGGACCAGCATCGAAACAAACGTCCGCTTCGCCTTAGAGAAGAGTTTTCTAGCGGTGAGGCCCCCACCGTCCCGGGTGGCCCTGAGGGGTGGTGGGCGGATGGGCCCGGGGCTAATGAGCCCTCTGCCCCCGCAGAACCAGAAGCCTACCTCAGAGGAGATCCTGCTGATCGCCGAGCAGCTGCACATGGAGAAAGAAGTGATTCGCGTCTGGTTCTGCAACCGGCGCCAGAAGGAGAAACGCATCAACCCCTGCAGTGCGGCCCCCATGCTGCCCAGCCCGGGGAAGCCGGCCAGCTACAGCCCCCACATGGTACCGGGAGGCCTCTGGGGGGCGGGAAAGCGCAAAGCTCGGCAGGCACCGGTGTGAAAGCACACTCTACCTGGTTGCCCACAGAGCCTAGAACAGAGGCAGGGAGTCACTACTGGGGACGGGCTGTCACACAGATGGAGCACAGTCGCACAGGAACACATAATTTCCAGGGAGCTGTGATCTTATGTGGGGGATACATGCACCCCCAGATACACATTGACATAGCCAGACACAGAGTTATCACAGGGACATAGCCACGCAGCGATGGATACATATGTCTAGGGGCATGGTCCAGGTAGGGACACAGGCTCACAGCCATGAAGAGACAGGCAGAGGTGCTTATTTACCCTGCAGGGACATCATCACACCCATGGGTGTACTTGTAAGTCCACAGGTGCACACAGACCCACTTGATATCGGACACAACTGGGACATCTTTTATTCCATCCTTTTATTTCCATTCATGGAAAGGGCTGTGACACTCCAGAGAGGAGCCCCTGCCTGGAGTGGTGTGGAAAGAGGAGGGACTGTCTGGGCTGAGTCATAAAGGATGAGAGAGTGTTACAGCCCCGTGAAGAAGGAGAAGGGCCTTCCAGGCAAAGGGACCAGTGTGCACAAAGGCCTTGAAGCCAGAGTGTCCCCAGCCTGATTTGAGGAACTCCAGTGCAACTGAGTGTGGCCGGAGCTGCAATGTATATGAATGAGGGGGCGGGCGGGGGGCAGACACCCCAGGTTTCAAGATGAGGAGCTTGAACTCGAACCATGGGCAGTGAGGGGCTATGGAGGGATTTTGAGCTGGGGAAGGTTAGGCTAAATTTAGTGAGGCTTCTGGGGCTGATGTAAAGGTGAAACTGGAGGGCGGGAGGCTGAGAAAAAAGCTGGTAGATGGTACCAGAAGATCAAGTAATATGACATCCCAGCACTCTGACACAAAGGTTTCTGTCAATTTAGCCTCATAAATCCCCCCCTCTCCATACACACACTTTAGACTGGCTCCTTCCTTGCCTGGGTCACTTTGAACGGTTTCTCCTGCATTGCTTGCAAACTCCACTCTTAAAAGGTCAATGGAAGGAAGGGATTTTCAGTTTTGCAGAACCGACGACAGCAGGCACAGAGAGAGCACTGGCTCTTCAGGGGCACTGTGGCTGCAGACAGGATGCAGCACTGCAGAGACTGGCCAGGCTGGACAGGGTCAGACGAGAGATGGGGAGCACTCTCAATTGCGAATTATTCCTTCCTGCTTGTGGCTCAGGATCACCGGGGTAAAGGTGAAGACAGATACGATGGAAAACACATGGAATAACACAAATGCAGCATTGTACCCAAAGCCCCCTTTCCCCCACCTGGGGGCAGAGGAGCGGGAGTTAGACCCACAAAGAGCATCACAGGGTTTCTGGGAGACAGTGACGTAACCATACCTCCTTTCCTCTCTCCCCAGGTCACACCCCAAGGGGGCGCGGGGACCTTACCATTGTCCCAAGCTTCCAGCAGTCTGAGCACAACAGGTCAGGGAGGGTAGAAGTCGGTGAGGGGGGACTGGGAGGACGTAGCACAGGCTGGAGCCTGAGGTTCTCACGTGGCTCTGGGCATCCACGGAACTCAAGGCTGGGCCTGGGGGTGTGGGGGTCATGGGAGGGATAGAGGGGAGGGGCAGGCCCCACCCCTCCTATGAGAGAGCAACTTGGCTTTAATTTGCTCCACAATTTCATGAGAAACGCATGGAGTTGCTAAAAGGTGAGGCGCTTCGGTTTGGGGCCTGGCCTCTGTCATTTATAAGCTGTGTGAATTTAAGAAGTTACCTTCAGGTTGGGTGCGGTGACTCATACTTGTGATTCCAGCACTTTGGGAGGCCGAGGTGGGAGGATCATTTGAGGCTAGGAGTTTGAGACCAGCCTGAGCAACATATCAGGACCCTGTCTCTACAAAAAATAGAAAAATTAGCAGGGTGTGGTGGCACATGCCTATAGTCCCAGCTACTCAGGAGACTGAGGCAGGAGGATCGCTGGAGCCCAGGAATTCAATGTTACAGTGAGCTATGATCGTGTCACTGCACTCCACCCTGGGTGACACAGTGAGACCCTGTATCAAAAAAAAAAAAAAAATTACTTTACCTCCCTGAGCCTCTGCTTTTAAAATGTTATTGTAAATGTGTAACACATACAGAAGATGTATACATAAACATATACGTATAAGCATGTATGTGTGTATGTGTACTCTTGTACCCAAAGTCCCCTTTTCCCCCTTACCGAGACAGGGCATGTTTAGCTCCATATGTGAGAGTAATATAAAAGAATAATATAGGGCGGGCGCAGTGGCTCACGCCTGTAATCCTAGCTCTCTGGGAGGCCGAGGCGGGCGGATTGTTTGAGCTCAGGAGTTTGAAACCAGCCTGAGCAAGAGCGAGACCCCGTCTCTACTAAAAATAGAAAGAAATTAATCGGACAACTAAAAATATATAGAAAAAACTAGCCAGGCATGGTGGCGCATGCCTGTAGTCCCAGCTACTCGGGAGGCTGAGGCAGGAGGATCGCTTGAGCCCAGGAGTTTGAGGTTGCTGTGAGCTAGGCTGATGCCACGGCACTCTAGCCTGGGCAACACAGTAAGACTCTGTCTCAAAAAAAAAAAAAAAAGAATAATATAAAACAAACACCATTTTGCCCCTCCCCAGGTTAAGAAATAATAAGTGGAGATTTATAAAGTAGTAAGGGCATGCCTGGCGTGTTCTAAGCTCTTTATCAGCCGAGTGTGGTGGCACAAGCCTGTAGTCCCAGCTACTTGGGAGGCTGACGCAGGATACTTGAACCCAGGAGTAGGAGGCCGCAGTGAGCTATGACCGTGCCTGTGTATAGCCTCTGCGCTCCAGCCCAGGCAACAGTGAGACCCTGTCTCTTAAAAAGCAAAAAGTATATTGACCGATTTAATTATCACACCCATTTTATGAGATAGGTCCTATTATTAGCCCCATTTTCCAGATGAGAGATCGGAAGGTCAGAAAGGTTAAAGCACTCGCCCAAGGGCACAGGAATTTCTATCCCAGAGTCTGGGTTCCTTGCCCTCCCAGGTTGCCCATCCTGAGCTGCCAGCTGCCTGCCTTGCACCCTATGCCCCTTCCCTGGCCTCTAGAGGGAGCCATAGGGCTTTGTCTCCTTGTCCGTGTGAAATTGGTGCAGGGCGGGGCATGTGTAGTACCAGTGCATCTGGCACAGGGCACGGGCTCAGTAGGTGACAGCTGCTCTTACTTTGATTATTGTGATTGCTGTCACCATGGCAGAGGCACAAAGAAATAGCTCTGGGAAGAGAGGGCAGGAAGGTCTAGGTCTGTTCTGACAGGAGATGCTGCGTGAGCTGGGTGGGGGAGACAAGTACTTGGCCACGAGTTCCTTGGTGGGGGACGAGTGGAAGCTGAAGACCCCATCTCTCTGTCTCTCTCTGGCAGTTACTACCTTATCCTCAGCTGTGGGGACGCTCCACCCCAGCCGGACAGCCGGAGGGGGTGGGGGCGGGGGCGGGGCCGCGCCCCCCCTCAATTCCATCCCCTCTGTCACTCCCCCACCCCCGGCCACCACCAACAGCACAAACCCCAGCCCTCAAGGCAGCCACTCGGCTATTGGCTTGTCAGGCCTGAACCCCAGCACGGGGTAAGTGGGTGCAGGTGGGGAGGCTGTGGGGAGAAGCACGGTCACTGCTGCTTTCAGGGTGGGGCGCTGCACCCCAATTCTGCTGGTGGATCCCTGCCCCTGCTAACGCCTCTGCTTTGCCTCTTGCAGAAGCACAATGGTGGGGTTGAGCTCCGGGCTGAGTCCAGCCCTCATGAGCAACAACCCTTTGGCCACTATCCAAGGTGCGTGCCGCCTCATGTCACTCCCATCATCACCAGCCCTGCCCCCCGGGGCCTCGAGCCCCCCCATTGCTGCTCCAGCCATGCCATCCTGCCCCCGCTCACTGCATCGCTCGCCTCTCCATACCCATCTCGCCTTTGGGGAAGGTGTGAGGGGTGCTGATGGGGGCCGGGGGAACAGATGGGAAGACGGGGGGCACTCTGGGCAGGACGCTGGAAGGCGAAGGTCTCCCCTGGCCCGGCGTGCCCCCAGCCTAGCCTCTCTCTCTCTCCGCCAGCCCTGGCCTCTGGTGGAACCCTGCCCCTTACCAGCCTTGATGGCAGCGGGAACCTGGTGCTGGGGGCAGCCGGTGCGGCCCCAGGGAGCCCTGGCCTGGTGACCTCGCCGCTCTTCTTGAACCACGCGGGGCTGCCCCTGCTCAGTGCCCCGCCTGGCGTGGGCCTGGTCTCTGCAGCAGCTGCAGCTGTGGCAGCCTCCATCTCCAGCAAGTCTCCTGGCCTCTCCTCATCCTCTTCATCCTCCTCCTCCTCCTCCTCCTCCTCCACTTGCAGCGAGGCGGCAGCACAGACCCCTGGAGGCTCAGGGGGACCCGAGGCAGGGTCCAAGCCTGAGTGAGGGCCTGCCATGCCTCCCCTCCTACTCCTCTGACCCCCACCTAGGTCCCCCGCCCAGGAAGAGGGCGAGGAGGCCAGCGGCGGGGATGCAGAGGGACCTCGGAGCAGGAGTGACAAGGGAGGAAAGACCAAAAAAATCCCAACCAACCAAAAAAAAAAAAAAAAAGGAAAGAAACCAACCAACAAAAAAGAAAACCAAAAATAATCACAACAGAAACCAGCTGCCCCAAAGGAACCAGAGGTGAAAAACAAACAGACAAAAAAGAAAAACCAAAAAACAAACCAAAAAACCCCCTACAAAATCAAATCAACCAAAAACCAGTCTCGAGCCAGACCTCAGTGTGCTCACCCTCACTGCTACGACACCAAATAAGAGCCCCAGCCAGGGGCGGAGGAGCCTTGGCAGTTCGGACCTCACGCCACCGAGCCCTGGCTATGGGGCCAACCCCCAACCCTGCCTCCCCCCGCGGGGGCTACAGAAGGAAAAAGAGAATATGCCAGCCTCCTGGCCCCAGCCCCCAGCCCTGGGCCAGCGAAGACAGGGCACAGCCTAGGGCAGACGGGCTGGGGCTCGGAACCAGCCGCCAAATGTTCTTTTCCAGAAGGTGAAAGAGAAAGGGCCTGAACAACCTTACACCAAATATTCAGTAGCTTCATCCAAAGGATGTACAGAATTTTTAGCATTGTGCTCAACAGAATGTGTCCCTATCATGTGTCCCCCCCTCCCTGGCCCCCCAGCTCTCCCCATCTGGGCAGGGGGTCTTGCTTTAACCTCCTCTCTCCCCCCAGCCAGGGGAGAGTTCAGGGGAAGGCCTGGGGATGAGGTTTCATCCCCTGTCCTCCCCTTCTTCCCCTTTGAAGGGTGGGCTAGGCCATTTTGCCAAGTTCTAGCTCTCACAAGTCCCTCCTCAACCCTGTCTCCTTCTCTGCTCTGGAATCTACGCCCTCCCCGGCCCGTGGGAAGGTGGACATTTCAGACAAGAGGGGATGAGGTGAGGCCATTCAAGTTGTCTTTTTTTCCATCTTGTCTGTCAGTTTCCCTGAAAAAAAAATTTCATATTCCAGTGCCTATCCGTGGGATCCTTCACGTTCTTTGACATTAACCAGAAACCAAAAAGAGAACTCGCCTCGCTCTTCCCACCCTGTGCCCCTCTGATACTGGCGAATGCCTCTCCTCCCCCACACGCACACACGCACGCACCCTGGTAGTGGGGGTCGTCGAGACGGCATCCCCATCAGGGTCCCCGTGGCAGGGACAGTGCCATGACCTGTGGTCCCCATCCGAGAGGGCGCGGTGGTGGTCACCACTCCCACGAGACCTCCACCAGTCTTGGCTGAACCCTGTGTGTGTCCAGCCCTGGACGCGCCTCGGCAGGGGACGGAGGAGAGACGCCACCGGGAGCCACCTTGCCCTCCTGCCGTTGTGGAGGCCAACAAAGTTTTGAACCAAAAAACAAAAACAGAAAACCAAACAAACAATAAATTTAAACTAGAAAAGAAAAAGAATTTATAGATATATATATATATATATAAAAGGGAAAGAAGACAAGGACTCTTCGAGAAGAAGAAGGAGCCGCGAGGTGGAGCCAAGCCCTTGGTCCCCAAGGCGGATGGAAGGACGGATGCTTCTTTCTCTTCACAAATACCTCATGGACGTCGTCTTTGGGAAAGCCGGAGGGGGCGGCTGGGGCAGGGCCTGTCCCTGCCAGGGCGGATGGAAGCGGGTGGGCTGGGCTGAGAGAGGGTGTCAGGGACAGGGGTGAAGAGCCCCAAACTCCCCGCCCCCCCAATCAACTGAAAAAGCTTTAAAAAAAAAAGACAGGAAAAAAAAAAAGGAGTAAGAGCAAAAAGAATGGACGAAGGAAAACTAACAACTGTTGGGTGGTTTGATTTCTTTTGATTTCTTTTTCTGTTCTCTTCTGTCCTCTCTCCTCTCTGTCTCCCTCTTCTTTCTCTCCCTTCCCTCTCCTTCCTCTTCCTTGGCTCTTCTCTCACCTCTCTCAACCTCATTCTTTCTGTGTCTCTCCTCAAACCAAAGTGTCGCTGTGAAGGACGCGAGCCATTGAAGTCTGAGTGGAGCCCAGCGGCCGCTGGGCCTGAGCAGAGGGAGGGGAAGCCGGGTGGCCTCCCCTTTCTGCTGGACACTCCGGGGAGAGCAAGACGGAGCCCCAGGCCTCAGCGTTCTCTTTTTTTCTTGTCTCCCTTCTCCCACCCGGGAAATGAAACTGTTGGGCTGGGCCATGGAGGCAGCAGAGACTCGGCCGTTGCAGGGACCTCCGGGTGCCTTCTCTGGGCAGCGGTGGAGTGGCCGCCCCCCCAACCCTGGCACCGATGGGGCCTGGCACCGTGTCGACCCATCCTCGCCGGAATGTAAGCATCTCCGCCGAACCGACTCCCTGCCCTTACCCTACCTCTGAGTTTGTCCATGTTTATTTCCTGAAGAGAGAAGGGATTGGCGAGAGGGCCTGGGCCCCAGCCCGAGGGTAGAGAGGGGGCCGAGGGCTCCTGACCAGATAGGAAGGACATTTGAGCAGAGCAAAATGAAAGGAATTACAACCAAAAACCCCCTCCGAGAAGACAGGCAGCATGGAAGGCATGGTGGAGATGACTCAAACAAAAACTATGATTCTAGACCAAAAAAAAAACAAAAACAAAAAAGGAAAAAAAAAAAGAAAATCCAGGACTCACCACCACCCACTTCGTCCTGCTTCCTCCCCGTCAAGTCCCACCACCTGGGACCTCTCCCACCCCAGTGTGGGGGAGTGGGGCAAAGAGCAGAGGAGGAAGCAGGGGCAGGGATGGGGCAGATGCCCTGACATTGGTGGAGGGACCCCTGTACAGCCGGGAGTACTGGGGACCCTCCCCATCCAACCCCCACAACTGGGAAAAGTAAAGCAAGAAAAAAGAAAATTCCTGGGAGGGGGAAAAAAATAACCAAATCCCAAGCTTTAACTACAGCTGTGAAACCAAATATTGGGAAGGGGGTGGGAGGGAGGGAGGGGCAGGTGAGCCCCAGGTCTCCCCCCTGGGCCCCCCTCCCCCGAGGACTCGAGATAAGGCACCAAATACCTCATAGAACTTTAATGTTAAAAAAGGAAACCAAATATCGTTGGCTGGGGGCCAGCCAGGGCAAGGGGCTGGGGGGCTGGAGGGAGCCAGGGTTGGGAAGGTGACGGGGGAATTCACGCCCCCCCACCCCCCTCTGCCCCTTCCACTCCGGTCCCCCTCGACTCCGGGAAACAAAACTATCTCATCGTTTTTATTTTGTGGTCTGTACAGAGCCTGTGTCCGTGTGTCTGTGTGTGAGCGAGAGAGTTGGAGGGCTGGGGAGCTTTCTGTGGGGCATGGGGAGGGAAAAGCCCCAGGCCAGGCTCTGGGCTAGGTTAGGTGTCTAAGGTGGGGGGCCAGGGGCCTGGGCTAGAAAGAGAGGAGAGAGGAGTGGATTGGAGCAAGGGGGAGCCCTCTGAATTTCTCTTCTCCCCAACCCTGACCTCCTGCATAAGGGAGGGACAGAGACTGGGTCTACCCTAATGGTGGGCCTTTTAATTGTGCCAAAAAAAAAAAAAAAATGCCAGTAACTAAACCACCTCTCTCTGTTCTCTTCTGGGGGGTGGGGTCGGGATGTGTGTGGGGGTGGGTAGGGATAGGGGAACCCAAGCCCTTGTAGGAGTTGGGGCTAAGATCAGGAGGAGGGGAAGGATGTGAGTTTTCCACCCATCTCCTCCCCGGGGAAGGCCAAGGGAGGGCCTGGGAAGATACCGTGAGGGACTAGGCAAGTCGGGGTGACCTCCAAACCCGACTAGTTTCTCTCACCCACCCAAAGCCCAGGGTGCCTCTCTCTCCTCTAGGCCAGGGTAGGGGGAACTGAGTGAGAGAGAGAGTGAGACCGAGTGAGCAAGATTGAGACACGCGGGCCCCCACTGGTCTCTGAGTGGGAAAGGCAAGTGCGAGAGATAAAGGCCTCCAAGAGAAAAAAGAAACAAACCAAAGATTTAACCATTAAAAAAAAAAAAACCCACAGACAACTCCGCTACCTTTTTATATGTTGGAAAAAAAAGTGAAAAAAATTTAAAAATAAAAATTAAAAAAAATACACAAAAAACTCCAAGCCGCAGGTCCTTCATGCGGTTTGAACTTTGACCTCAGCAGTCTCCAAAGCAAGACGACGATGATGACAAAGGCGGAATAAAAAGAAAAAATAATGTATATTTTTAAGTATTTGTCCTCGAGATGTTAGCTCCTTGTTAAACAAACAAAAAAAAGGAGAGAAAAATTCAGAAGTGTTGCTGGGACGGAGACAACTATTTACTATGTCTGTGACCCCTCCCCTCTGCCTCCCTCCCCTCCTCCTCCTCTTTCCTCTCCTCTACCCCTGCTGCCCCTCCCCCAACCTGTCCCCCAAGCCCAGGGGCTCAGTATTTATTTATTTATATAATTGCAGGGTGACTGGGGGCCTCTCGACAACTCGTGGAGGGCCTTTGGATCATGGTGGAGTGGGGAAAGGGTAGGGAATCTTTGGGAAAAGCAGGGGTCTGATCTTTGATCAACTCCTTTCTGGCCTCTTGTCCCACTGCTGCCACCATCACCTCCCAAATCCAGGGCTGCACTAGGGTAAGGTGACCACCCTCCCTTGGAAAGGTCTGCTTGGCTCAGCCTTTTCTGGTGTGGGGTATCTCACCTACTCACTTGAAGAACCAGGTTGGAATGAGGGTGAGGGAAGTCAGAGGGGGTGGCAAGTAGTGGGCAAGGGAGACCCAAGAAGTGGCATCCGGAAATCGAGGAGGCCCTGGAGTAGACCTGCCCTTCCTACATTCCCACCGAGTTCGCCCCCCTTTCGGTTCTGACCCCTGTGTTGGTAGCCCCGCCCTTCCCATCCTATACCCTCGCCCTGTCTCTTCTCGTGGTAGCGGGTTAGCGTTTCAGTGTTCTTAACTCCAATCTGCTTGTTCATTGTACAATGTGCTTCTTTTAAGGCCCCATTTTTGTAACTTGAGTGTGTCATTCATCTGAACAACAAACATCAAAAAATAAAAAATTAAAAACTGTACAGAGAGAAATGCCTGCTCTCCCTTGGTCTCCTTTCCTGGGAAGCAGTGAGGAAATCAGGGGATGGGGATGTGTGCGCTGGGGTGGTGGTTACTTCTGTTCAAACGTTCGAAAGCAGATGCCTCTTTCGAACGGGGATGGAGGCACAAGGTTTCTCAACAATCAAAAAACCCAAGTCTTGGCCGGGCGCGGTGGCTCACGCCTGTAATCCTAGCTCTCTGGGAGGCCGAGGCGGGCGGATTGTTTGAGCTCAGGAGTTCGAAACCAGCCTGAG